CTGTGTGCTAGACATCTTGTCTTTTCCCTTGGACACTCTTCTTCTACCCCTGCCCCATGGGCAGCAGGCAGTTCCATGAGTTTACTTGGTATCCTTGGCAGAGCCTGGACAAGATGCTTGTCTTGGTCTGGGCTGGATGAGAACTAAGAAAACTAAGCTCTCATGGATCAGGAAAAGTTCACATCTCCCATACAGGATACACTGGCATTTGTCCGTTGAACCTACAAAGTTTTGATTATGTATAAGTCTGGATTATGCCTCACAGCAGGGAAGGTTGGCAGGCTGGGAACCTCCCTGTGATGAGGAAATGCAGCATCTCAGCCCACAGCTTTCTGCTCATCCCAGCATCCTAGGAAGGGATGGTACTTGTTTTGTGGACATGGAAAATGGCCTCTCAGAGAAAGCCAACTACTAGAACTGACAGAATCAAAAGAAAGCGATCCAAGAAAGTAACACTTGCTAGCCATAAAGAAGTTTGGGACAAATTAAAAGAAGGATTGATGTATTCAGCAGTAGTTTAGATATGAGATATGGTAGTGTCTGTCTTTCACGGTCCAGAAAACATTCCTAAATCCGTTCAGTGGGGGAATTCCTAGTGGTCTCCTGATTATTCCTCAAGGAAGTCGACACCAGGCTATATAGCTTGTGCAAGCTGGTGTCATCTATTAGTAAAGTCTATTGCACTGTAGCCTGGACTATGGTCTGTGGTTAGACAGTCACAGACTCCAGATACCAGAGGTAAAAGATCTTCTGAGATAGCCCTCCATTCCCCCATTTATAGGTGAGAAAACAGGGCTAGAGGGAGAATGGGGGTGCTCAAGTTCCATGAGAAATGGAGCCTATGACCTTTGCTTTTTTCTCTAGAAAGTAAAATGATTGAACCAGCAGTTAGTGTAATGGCTATGTCGGATTCCCACATAGTTGACTGCATCCCGGACCCGGTGGCTTAAAACTCACGCTGGGCACGTGTGCGTGCGTGCCCAAGATCCCAAGAGGACAATGCAGGAGAAGGGATTGCAGCTTAACCATCCCCCCAGGCGGGTGATTTCTCGCTTTCTGTCTCTCTGTCTCTCTCTGTCTGTCTGGCGAGTGCACGCGCCAAAAAAAAAAAGAAAAAAAAAGAAAGAAAGTAAAATGATTGAGTCTTCCTCTGCTATATCAGCTCTGGTAGAGGATGCCACCCTGCTGGGTCCAGAGTGGGCTGGACTACCAATGGATTCCCATCACCAGAAGGGATATCAAGGGACAGAGTTCTCAGAAGCATGAAGGTGGTTCTGGTCTTGTGAAGGAAAGAAGTTAGAGAGGTGCTCAAACCAATCCCATCCTGTATGTGCCCTTGCTGGATCTGTTTTTCTAATGACTGTTTTATCTTCCAGTCTGTTTCCTTTTGTCCCATTGTTTTGTATTTCTTTCCCTCTCTCCAGACACATTCCATACATACTCTGCTGAGCTCCAACCATTTATTAATCTATTCATATGTTCATTCATTGAATGAAAATTCCTCAAGTGTTTATTTCTGTGCCAGGCATAAGGCTGGGCAATGGAGACACAGAACAACACAGTCTTGTCTCTCTCAAGTTAACAGCTTAGTAAAGAAGAGAGAAATAAATACTTACACAGTCAAGTGCCGGCACATTAACAAAATTACACCTGTGATTAGCACTATGTGAGCATGTAATACCAACTGCTAATGAGACTGAATGATGCAACTCAAAAATACAAAGAATTTAATTCTCTCTGAGTGACCTTTGACCAGTGGGAGACAAGAAATTAGAGGGTGGCTCTTGATATGAAGAACCTTTTGGGGGTGCCTGTC